GCCAGGTCATTCAATTCCTTAAGAAAGAACAAAGAAGAAATGTATTCAACATAAATCTGTTACCCATTAATACAATTTTTCACTATTACAATATTCTCTGTCCCACCAGTACAGCTCTTTTGGGAGCACTCCTTCAGAGTCAGAGAGGGGTGGATAGGTTAAAGTATTTTAGATTCTTAAGTACACATGTATATTTTAAATTAATGGATCATTTTTGCTTACAGTTCAGTAAGTAAATATAAGGTAAACATGATTATCTGACTAGCGTCACAAAACTATAAGGTTACATTTAAAGCTCTTGAAATCATAAATATTCCAAATTATATGAGACCATCTAACAAGATATTGATGTTTTCAGATGGTATCTACTACCAGGGTTACAAAGGTCGTAGAAAAAAACTTAAAAAAGGATACATTAAAAATGCTGGCTGAAGTAATAAGACCTGTCATAAAGTTTTATAATCAGAGACGTCTATCTGTTGTAATGTTCTACAACCAGATGCTAGCTTCTTAGCTATCTATCTATATATATATAATAGGCTAATTTGCTAAGTGTCCCTCCAACCGTCTGACCAGTCGTTATGATGCGCATTGACCACCAGGGGGGCAGACGCTCAACGCAGGAGCTGCCGTGACATGCAATGGCCATTTACAAAGAAATGGCACCACAGACCTGCCGTGCTGACAAAGCAACACTCAGCTTCCCCAAGTGGGATACAGGCCCCGCCACCACCCTGGAGCAACAGCCCACCAAATCGCAGCCAACGCTGCCAAGACTCCATGGCGCAAAATGCAGCCCACAGCCCAGCCCATCCCAGCGCAGAAATGGTGGCTATGGGCAACGGGTAATGACATCACGTAGCAACACCTGGCTTCCTCTCCCTAACGACTAGCCTCCTTGGATATTCTTCAGCCCAGAAATATGACTTGCTTTATAGCCAAGTGCAAACATTTTAAACTTTAACCAAATGTCTGTGAAGTGTTTTCACGTGCCTCATCTCATTTGATCCTCACAGAAGTCCTGAAGTAGGTAGGTAGGAGACTCGATAGAATCCTATTTTCATTAGCCAGAAAACAGAGATTTAGAAATTTTAAAAACTTGACCCGACTGAAAAGAAATGGTAGAACCTGAAAATGACTTCAGGTTTTCTCACTGCGCAGAATATAGTCAAACACTGCTACAGTTAAATATTTCACCCTTTGTTCTCCCTGTGGGATCTGCAATAATAATCTGCTTCATGTTGATATTTACTGCAGTGTTGCTGACAACTACCTGAAAGAGAAGTTGGAGTGCTTCACTGGGCTGGAAAAAGTTTAGCTAAATCAGAGAGCAGGTGTAATTAAACAAGTTTATATACTAGAGGCCTGGTGCACAAATTCGTGCACAGGTGGGGTCCCTCAGCCTGGCCGGCAATCGGGACCCATTGGGACCCATTGGGACCACCTAGTCCCTATCGGAGTGATCAGGGCCGGCCGGGGGTACCGCAGAAGGTTGGCTATGGAAGCACACTGACCACCAGGGTGCAGCCCCTGCATTGAGCGTCTGCCCCCTGGTAGCCAGTGTGCGTCACAGCAACTGGTCGAGTGGTCATTCAGTAACTTTGGCTTTTATTTGTATAGATATAAAGCTCTCACTGGTGCCAACCTCACACATGTGTTTTCATCTGTCATTGTCAATCGTGAATTTGGTTGACACTTCTATTATAGAAAAAAGGCGAATAGCGATATTAAAAGTATTTCTAATGTGCACGAATTCGTACACTGGGCCTCTAGTCCTATGTAATAAAAGGCTAATATGCATATCGACCAAATAGCGGAACGACTGGTGGCGATGACATGCACTGACCACCAGGGGGCAGACGCTCAACGCAGGAGCTGCCCCCTGGTGATCAGTGTGCTCCCACAGGAGGAGCGCTGCTCAGCCAGAAGCCCTGAGTCAGGCTCACGGCTGGTGAGCGCAGCAGCAGTGACAGAAGCCTCTCCCGCCTCCATGGCAGGGCTAAGGATGTCCAACTGCCAAGTTAGGCCTGCTTTGGGGAGCAGGCCTAAGCCATCAGTCGGACATCCCCCAAGGGCTTCCGGACTGCAAGAGGGTGCAGGCCGGGCTGAAGGAACCTCCCCCACCCAAATGCACAAATCTTGTGCACCAAGCCTCTAGTTTTAACATAAGAGCCCACAAACTTGAGATTTTCTTACTGTGTGGAGATGCCTAAAAAAATTCAAGGCAGGAAATCATACTGTATTCCCTTTCCCTTTGGCTTGGTATTTGAGGTAAAATCAAGCTCTGAGGAAGGACTAGTTTAGATTTTATTTTTACAATATAACAGTAAAATTCAATATTTTTAAGTACAATAAAAACTATTTAGAATCTTTATTAGTTAACAAAGGTATGACTTTAATATTCCAAATACAGTGGGGCCTTGACTTACAAGTGTCCCGACTAATGAGTTTTTCGAGATACGAGCTGTCTCTCGACCAATTTTTTGCTTTGAGTTGCGAGCTAAAATTCGGGTTACGAGCCAGCTTCAGATGCCCCACTGCTAGTTGGCGCAGCGAACATCACAGTG